GAAATATTCCTATAAAATATTTTTGGAAATTAAAATAAAATTTTTTGATGAAAATATTTGTAAAATTATTTATCAAAATTTCATCTTTTCCTCCATGTTTCTCATTAAATTAGGGCATTTAGAGAAAATCTTTAGAAATGTTTTTCTATAACATTTTCTGTCAAAATGTGAACTTTTTGTGTCATTTCCGGTCAAAAACAAAACTTTTGACGAAGATATTTGTAAAATTATTTTTTCTTCACTTGCATGTTTCTCATAAAATTAGGGCATTTAGACCCCTTTTTTAATTAGAGGATTTTGTTGAGAAACATGGAGAAAAGGTAACATTTTGAATTAGTTTTTTAGCAATTTTCATTCAATTCTTTCAATATCTGACTTTTTTTTAACCGTTGTAAGGTCCCAATATGTCTTTGTGTCTGTGTGTGCAAGTATGTCTGCGTGCGCATGTTCCTGTACTGCATGACTTGTGCCAACTTTTCCTCATTCTATTTAGGGTCAAGATATTCTGAGACAAGATGAAAATCATTGCAAGGACAAACGGTGTGTACAAAAATGCGAAAGACCGCACAAGGGTTAAACATGTTTTTCTAAAGATTTTTGGTCAGGTGTTGAAAAATTTTGATGAGAATCTTTGAAAAAATGTTTTCAAAATTTGAAATTTGCGTTTTGAAAAAATTTTTAGAAACTTTTTTTTTTAAATCTTTCAGTAAATTCCTAATTTTGCGTGTCATGTGGTCAGATGGTGAAAAATAATTTGAAAAGAAAATTTCAAAATCTGATCTTTTCTGCATGTTTTTCATCAAATTAAAGCATTCTGAAAAAAAATTCAGCAATCTTTTTTTAATTTTTTTGGAGAAATCCTAATTTTGTGTGTCATGTGGTCAGATGGTGAAAAATGTTGATAAATGTTTTTGGGAAAACATTTTTACATATCATCCTAATTTTTAAAAACATGTTTCTACAAAATATTTCAAAATGCTCTAATTTGATGAGAAACATGCAGAAAGGATATTATGATTTTTTTTCCCAAAAATTTTCATATCTTTTTAACATCTGAAACTTTTCAAAAAAAATGTTTTGAAAAATGTCTCAAAATGCTCTAATTTTACAAAAAACATGCACATGAACAAAAAATACAAAATTGTTTTTTCCTAAACATTTTCTCAAAATGCTCAAATTTGATGAGAAACATGCAGAAAAGATAAAATTTTGCCAAAAATCCTAATTTACACATGTCATGGTTGCCAAATGTTAATGAATTATAATGAAAATTTTTGAAAAAAAAAATCAAATTTTTATCATCAAATTTGAACATTTGAGAAATTTTGTTTTTCATCAAATTTGAGCATTTTGAGACATTTTTTATATTGAGACAATATGTCAAAACAGAAAATTAAAAATTCATTTCTTTTTCATAACAAATGTAACAGCGTGACAGAGTGAAACAAGACAGAAATTCCGATCGACAATATCTGATGTAAGCTTTACTTTCAAATCCTGTTACATTTAGATCTGGCAGGTTGAACAAAAAAAAAAATAATGCCAAACAGAAGGAGAGAGAGAAAAATAATAATAATACAAAACCCAAAAGTACAAATGATCTATTTACCAGTTATCATCACAACCCTGTACAGCCTTAACAACGGAGTAATAAAAAAAGCTTTTTACAGCACAGACCAAATCTCTATTTACTGTGTGCCAGAAACAAATGAGCCTTTTCTGATCATAAAACACGGCCAAAAGTAAAGCTGAATGATTGTAGGACAGAGGGCGCCGGCATTAGCTAAACGCAACTGAGGGAGTTAGTTTTAAATGCAGTTAAGTGCTAAGGAAGTAGAGCAAGGGCAATGTCATGCATACGTTGAAGTGCCAGAACGCTTGTCAAGCTTTTCCTTTTAAATCAAAGTTACTGCGCTGCTGACAGTTGGGCACCTACAAACAAACTAAGTGCTTTAAAATATTGTTTTTTTTTCCCTAAAGGATTGAGCCCTGTTGCCTTATTTAACATTAACAAGTGCAGCCATTCATGATTAAGTCGTATGAAAAGGCAAACATTAGAAAGAAAAAAAAAATTGTATCAAGTGGACACATTCGTCCCCTCCTACCTCCCACCCCTTTCTATTGGACCCTAAAAATGAGTTTGACTTATTCTCAGAAGTCTCAGGTGGTTTTCTTCCACCAAGTGGCACTAGAGTATAAAAGATAACAGGGATACGTACAAGGAGAGTGTGTGTCAGTGTGTGTGTGTGTGTGTGTGTTGGAGGAAATTCTCCTTTCACTTCAGAGAGACGGTGAGCCACAGCAAAAAGGAACAACCAAACATGGAGTAAAGAGGGAGAGGGAGAGGACAATCCAGGCGTCGCTCCAGAGCAGGATGTGACGGATTCAATCCTAACATCACATCCTGCTGGGAGATACATTTTGGTCTGTGTGATTTACCTGTCCAATCAACATTATTTATTTCCGACACTTACATAAAAAAAAAAAAAAAAACATAATTAAAAAAACGCACAATGATTCATTGTAGGAAAAATTCAATTCAATGAGAAAAAAAAAAAAACACCAAAGAAAGTAACAGGAAAATCAAGGATCCCTGTAGAAAAAAAGGGATTTTGGCTTGAAAAGCGCTGAGGAACACGAGCACGATCAATAATGCGTAAAGCTTTAAAAATAAAAAATAAAAGGCTTGTCCTGCCTCATATTCCCAAACATACTTTTTTTGAGCATTTAATGGATAAATACATTTTCATCATCGTCGTCATCTAAAAGTGCAGCACTGTGCAAAATTGGCTTTTACAATTTAGCCTGGGACCTGACATTCCCAGAGAGAGCTTAACCTCTACTGTCTAATTCTTGTAATTTATAATAATTTACTTTATCCCAACTCCACCCCAGCTCTGAGTCATTGGAGGAGGGAAATTATTTCCACCGTCAGAACTGCATAAACGCTACACCTATGTCAGGCATTACTGGGTGTAGGAGGTGGACGTGGCTCCAGAGATGCTACCTGTCTGGACCAGAAAAAAAAACTTCTATCTTGAGTTGACCAGAGGCGGGGTTTCGTCAGGAGGCAGACCCTCTTAAAGCACTGCTAGAAATGTCTACGTGTAAAAAGCTTAAGGACGTTGATCCGAGTCATTTCCAGCAGCTACAGCTTCACACCACGGAGACGCGGTGGTCCTACGTTTGGATTCACAACCTTTTTCTTTTCCGTTTTCTAAGTGCTTTTGGCTTGAAGTGTAACAAGGTTAAGTGCAATTACAACTTAAAAGTTGGAGGGGGGGGGGGGGGGGGGGTGAAAAAAAAAAAAAAAAAAAAAAAAAAGCAGTACCATGTCAGTCAGCCTGACAGAAGCCAGTGCCATTGAACACAACGCTGTACAGAAGAATGGCTTTGCTTCACCGACGCACCTACGGGAGCTTTTACTTTGAAATCCCAATAGGTGCTTAATGAATGTTAGTAGAAAATGTTTTTTTTCAATTATGATGAAAAAGGCTCAGTTAAAAAAAGTAAAAATATAAAATAAAACCAAACAGAAACACAGAAGGCCACCAGACACACTCATTTCCCCGTCTTTACCAAACACAGAAGACGTCTCCTGTGTCTCTACTCCTTTTTCCATGTACATCAACAAAAATACATTCATTCAAGTCATTTTGGAACATTTTTTTTTCTTCTTTTTTGTACACAAAAAAAAAATTACAAAAAGCTCCAAAAAGCACCATAGAATCGGCCTGTGGTGACTCTGGCTGTGGGCAGCTCGCTGACCCAGAGACGGTCACCTCCACTGAACAGTTATCTCATCTCTCTTCTAAGTATCGGTGGAGCACACATACAGTAGCTTTACATATGAAACCACACTGACGTCTACTTGGTCTCAGAAATGGCTTCATGTCTTTGTTTTTTCTGTCAAATCTGTTCTGGAGCCGATCGTTTCTTCTGATCAGATAGAGATTTTATAGATTGGGAAGCAATAGCTGTGAATGTGTAGACATTTGTCCTGTAGGGGGTGGTGTAGAAAAAAATTGGGACACACTGCTTTAAAGCAATTTTATCCCCTACAGTCAGGTCTGAAAAAACTATTATTAAAACTATACAGTTTATAAAACAATTATAAATTGTTGAAGTTTTCGATTGAATTTCCATCACTGAATCAGCTGAAACTAAGATCTTTTGGAGGCTCTGTAATGATTCAGTGCTGTTTTCCAAACTGACCTTTTTTTGGGAATTTGTTTAAGGTTATTGTAATTCATTGGGATAACTTAGCAGTGGAAATCATCACAGGTTGTCAGTGTAAAGTCGTGGTCAACATAATGTTGTTTCTGAGGCAGAAGTGAGACGCCAGGCGGCCGCTCTGCACTGCATGGTTTCACCGTAACAGAACTCATAAGAGACTGGAAGGGGAGGGGCTATAAAACTATGTACAAGATTGATAAATAAGGTTAAGTGCGTGGTTTTGAGGCATTGCTTTGGAAACGTGCCTTTTTTTTTTCTTTCAATGAAAATCATGCCGTTTCATTGGGTTCGTCGGTCGCACCGCTAAAATACGTCTCAAATTCAGCTTCCTAATGATAGCAAAGCTAGCTGTAACACAGAAACAGGCATGCTCTTTTTGATGCATAACAGCAAGAGACAAAAATGCACTAAAATGTAGCACTTGCAAGTTTCGCGTCGTCTTTTTCAAAACATTTTCTCACCACCAGAAAAAAGATCTGTAAAACTGAGATATGTTAGTTTCCTTAGACAATGCAGATGAGTCCTGGTTTCTTAGACTAAAAAAAAAAAAAAAAATCAAAAAACAAAATCCAAAAAAACAAAAAACAAAAACAAAAACAAAAAAATAAAGAGTAGTAGTTGAAGTTGTAATAATTCAGTTGATAGAACTGATAAGAAAAGCAGCTTTTTTGATATAAATGCATTTTGAGCATGTACAGCTTTTTTCTCTTATAAATGTTTTCTTTTTTACTTGAGTAGGTTAGTCTGCTCCAGCTTATTCTGCTGGTCTGATTGAAAAAAGGTGAGTTCACTCCTGCGGCAGCGGTCAAGTCCTGTTCACACCAGCGTCCAAGGAGTGTGAGTGTGTGTGTGTGTGTGGGGGGGGGTGCAGGGTGGGCATGGTGGGTGGTGGGTGAGGAGGGGGAGCAGGAGGGTGAAGCTGAGTTACGCGAGGAGAAAGAGGAGGAGGAGAAAAGAGGAGGAGGCGAAGTGGACCGCCATCTGGAGTGGTGGTGCGTGTGGAATGTGAGGCGGTTGTTGTGGGTGAACAGGGTGGTGAGGGGGATCAGGTGCGCGGGGTCACAGTTCCTGTAGCGCTGGAACCTGTGATGGGAGGAGCCGAGGGAGAGGCCGCCGCCGCCGCGGCCGCTGTCGTCACGGGGGCTCCTGGAGGCGGCGTTGCTGCCGTTTATTGTGAGCGGGCAGAGCGGGCGACCTTTGTGGTCGAGCTGGGTGGTTTTGCCCAGAGTGACTGACATGGCCACGGACTGCAGCGCCTGCGACGCCGTCAGACTCATGAGCGGACTGTTCCTCTGGCTGCTCCCTCCTCCGACCATCAAGAACTTCTCCTCCGTCTTCCGAACTGACACGCTCCCTGCTGGTGCGGCCTCGAACGGCAGCTCCTCTTCTCCTGCCTCCTCATCTTCCTCTTCCTCACCTCCTCCTCCTTCCCCTGCTCCCCCACTCTGGTGTTTCTTCACGTGGCGGCTGAAGACAAACGGGTGTGTGGTGGTGAAGGGGCACTCGTGGCAGCCCAAAGTCTGACGCGGCGCGTGCTTCAGCTTCTTGTGCAGGTTGAGGTTGTCCTTGCGCTTGCAGCTGTACGAGCAGCGGTCGCAGTGGAAGGGCCGCTCACCCGTGTGCACGCGCACGTGCTCTATCAGCTTGTTGGCCGTCTTGGACAGGTAGCCACACTGCTCACACTTGTAGTGGTTGCCCAGACGGTGCCCGCGCATGTGGGCCTCTAGCGAGGCCTGGTCAGGCCACAGTCCCTGGCAGATGCGGCAGCGGTACTCCATCTTACAGTGCGTTTTGAGATGGCACTCCATGGCCGCTGGACGGTTGGTGGAGTAGACGCAGAAAGGGCACCTGGGAAATGTAGTCAAACGAAGGGAGCGCAGGAAAGAAAGACAAGACACACACACAAGAGCAAAGAAGAGTTGTTGGAAAAGTGGACATTAAAACAACAACAACAACAAACAGTTGTTGGAAAAGTGGACATTGAAACAACAACAACAACAACAAAAATCACTGAACACAATTTTGAAATTTAAGAACACAAAGTGATGAAGAAGAGAAGGACAGACAAGGGGAAGAGTGTGGTCCAGATACAGGCCTGTGTGCTCATGGCTGGTATGTGCAGCAGTTTAATGATGGAGAGCTGAGGTGACGGGGTATGTTTATGTGTTTGCATGTGTGTGTGGGTGGGTGGGTGGCAGTGGACAGCTGGGAGAAAAAGATGGAGCAGTAGGACATGGAGAGAAATGAAGGAATGGAGTGGCACTTACATTTAAATAGCACCTTTCATCTGCTCTGGGCCCCAAAGCGCTTCACAAACCCTGCAGAACAGAATCACCTCAGAAAAACCTCGAAATGGTCAAGGCCTTCTCTCCCTCTCTACACACTGCACACCAGCTGAGGACACAATCCTTAGGCTCTCCCCAGAAAATTTAGGGCTTTCTCTCTACACTTCCTCTCTTCTCTGTGCTTTGATACAGAGCAGAACATTTTCACACAGCATTTCTCAACAGCATTTTTTAAGAAAGGTTGGGGATCATTTTTTTTGCAGCTGTTTTCTTACAACATTTTAATTTTTGGGTTTCCCCTACCGCCCCCTCAGAAATGAAGTTTGCAGATCTCTGGACCAAGCAGCACTTCAACATTCTGACCATAGAGACCCAAAGACCACTGTCCCCCTAGTGACAGTATTATATAATGCTATAACGATTCTTGCTTAAGACCCAGGATTCTTGGACACATTTAACATGAGAAGGACTCTACCAAAAAAAGCACTTGTTATTCCAGACAGTTATTGACTGCCCTTCAAAGGATCATAAATGTTGACCACAGTTGATGGAGAGAAAACGAAAAATAAAATACAGGCCAGAAAACCTTAAATTCTGGAATAATGTAAGAGATTCCCCAATGTAGAAAAGGCTGTTTCAACTCAATACTAAAAACACAACACAAACACAAAATGCTAAATTTTGTATTTTTTTTCTAGAATATGTAAAACACTCCATAATTAAATTCTGATATGTTCAGAAATGCTGTGTATAAGATTCCTTGCTTTCTCAAAAAGAACTGGCAATACTTTAGAAAGACTTAAATCTTCTAAAAGAGCCTGTTAACTTTGTCCTCAGCTGTGTATAAAACACTTCATTATACTCAAGTGTATCCACATGTACACACTGGTCTGGGCCTGAGGTCACAGAAGTGTAGCCAATCTGCCATATATGGACTTTCTCTTTTTTGTTGTAATGACTTTGTTCAAATCTTTTCAAGTTTTTTTTCGTTTTTTTTTTTTTAAATAAATGTTGTTCACAGGAATGTAGACAACTGTGTAAACTTTGTAAAAAAACTTCTGTGGAGATTTACACAATACAGGTCAATACAGATTTTCTAGGTAAAAACAACATCAGTGTAAAAACAGGTCAGTTCTAACACTCGCCTTTCCTTCTACTGATTGAGTCAGGGTAAAAAAAAAAACACACACGCTACATGTTTATTTCCCCTGTGAAGCCTGATTTAAAAAAAATTAGTCTGGTTTAAAAAAATAAAAAATAAATAAAAACACTGGAGTGGAAAAAAAAGCATTTGAAAGTTATATAAAGCTACTTTACATTATTTACTCTCTCTACAGCCAGCACCGGTTCTGGAATTAAAGACAAATTGATGCGGCATAAATATCCCTGGGCTACGGAGAAGCTTTTTGTGCGTTTTTCTTTTTTTTTTTTATCCTCCGCAGCTGCTTAAAACAGACGTGTAACTTTGTTGGCAGCTTCTGGGTTTACATTCATTGAAATGCTGACATTTGCAGACGTACAATAACGTTGAGATCATCCACTAAACTCCACTGATGATTACACACAAATAAAATAAAACAAGGGGAGAAAAAAAAACGATGCAACGAACACTCTGTTTATGATGAGATGAGGCGAAAACCGTCATGATGCTCGATGGATCTGCACATGCACACAGTTATGAGACCGACTCCGACACTAATGTTGTTTGTGTTTCGCAAATAAACTTTAGACTGGCCGGTCTTTTCATATGTTTTGGGGTTTTTTTGTACATGCAAAAACTTAATTTGTCTTAATGTCACCCTGGTTGTGATGTTGAATAAACAGCTCGTTAATATTATACGCTGATATTATAATGTGATAATTACACCATTACTGATATTATATTTATTTAAGGAGCCAAAGTCAAAGTCCAGTTCCTTTGTGTGGTAAAAACCACTTTTTGGTTTTTTTGAGAATTGAGTTTTGTTTGTTTATTGGCAGGGTTGTTGGCTGAGGGCTGCTGAAAAACAAACCCTGAGGGGAAACCTATTTCCATCCTTATGTTCAGAGCAGCCAATGTCTGCCTCAGAAGTCACATGTGCCAAAGAGACCAGGCAGTGTGAACACTACAGCCTGCACCGCTTCATGTTTTAGTCATTAAAGCGGGGCTACCTGATTGAGAACATGACAAAAATAATGAACTAAAAGATCTTTTTTTTATATTTTTATAATATTAATAATCCTTGACTGGTGACATCTGACACAGGTGTGACTATATATTTTGACTTTTAAGATAAACGGCTCTTATTAGCCAGCACCCTGGTCAGTCTCATATACGACAGAATTTATGCTGATAAAAATAATAATTGTTGAATAATCAGCAAAGATTTATTTAAAAAAAATAAAGCCTAATGTCCTAATGAATATTATGTCACCAGTATATATGTATATGCAATGGTTTGAACTGGTGAGGTTTGATCGGTGATGGAGTGGGGCGGGGGTTACGGTCGGGGGAGTTAGGAACCGCTGTCTGTACTTGCTTTCCTTACTTGAGCCCTCCAGACGGGACGGTGTGGCACTTCTTGTGCTCCAGCAGCTGCTCTGGCGTCTTGAGGAACTTGTGGCAGATGTCGCACTCGAACATGCGCGTGATGAGGTGAATCTGAAGGTGCCGCTCGTACATGCTGCGTGTCTTGCACACAAAGTTGCAGAAGACGCACTCAAAGCCTGTGGTGAGGAGCGGGAAGAGGAGGAGACGGTAAGACAGAAAGAAAGGCGGGTTTAAAAAAAACAGCTGATGATTCTGGACGTTTGTTAACGAGAGGTAAAAAAAGAAGACAATGAAACTCTTTAAAACAAATAAAATAAAAATTGTGTGTAAAATTAAGACCCGTCAAACTCATTTACTTAACATTTAAGTTAAGTAAATGTCTATTGATTGAATGGATCAAAACTGTAGTTAATCACAATTAATCAAGATGAATCAAAATTCTAATTCAATACTATTATAATTATTCATGATTAATCATGATCAAGAATTAACAAGATTCTAATTTGATCCCCCCCCAAAAAAATCACCATTGTATTTAATCACAATTACATCGGATTAATTGAGATCTAAATGTATGTATTTTTATTTATTGATTAAACTAAATAAGAATTAAAAAAAAGTAACTTAATCTGTTTAATTAGTTTAATCAATTCTATGCATCTTGACGTTGGCTGTTAGAACATGTGGACTGTTGCTAAACTAATCGAGGTAAATCTGTCTCACACTAGAAATGTCTAGTTGTAGGAGCTGAAGATGCCAGTGTTAGGAAGGTGAGAGTGTCTGAATCCTCTAACAGTCGTCAGGTTGTTAATTGTGCTAATGAGGCAGATTCGTTTCTAAGTGTGAAGCATCTCCTGCATGACATGAATAATTAATGACGTAAACAAATCCTCAGCACTGAACACGTTGTACTTAAGAATCTTTGAAAAAAAAAAAAAATGATTCTGACACCCCACCCCCCACGTCACTTGCCTTTGTCCGACTTGTCCTCGGTCCCTGATCCCGAGTGGCTTCCGGAACTGGACTGACTTCCTGTTGACGAGGGCGGGGCCAGCATGTTTTTGAGTTCTTCGTTACTGTGGCCAATGTCTCCACCCTCGGAGCTGTTGAGTGAATCGCTGAGGGCTGAGAGGGACGAGGAGGTGCTTTTAGCACTACCCACGTCACTTGCCTTTGTCCGACTTGTCCTCGGTCCCTGATCCCGAGTGGCTTCCGGAACTGGACTGACTTCCTGTTGACGAGGGCGGGGCCAGCATGTTTTTGAGTTCTTCGTTACTGTGGCCAATGTCTCCACCCTCGGAGCTGTTGAGTGAATCGCTGAGGGCTGAGAGGGACGAGGAGGTGCTTTTAGTCTCACTGAGGGGACTTCTTGAGGTCAGACCTGGACAACAGAAAACAGAAAAAGGAAAATATAATTGATTATGATTTTAAACCACTGATAGGAATTCTCTAGGTCTTTGGCCACATGAAGAAAGACACCTGCTAAAAAAAACCAACCTGCTGATAAAATCTCCCTTTAAAAACCCTTATTATGTCCGTCACACGTTGACATTCAAACAAACAGAAAACAAACAGACAGCCTCTGTGCTCATGTGCTCCATCTGAGGCCCTTCTGCCAGTCCAATCAAGATGCAGGGCGCTTTATTGATCCTCTCCTCTGTCTGCAATTCACTGGGAAGAGAAGGGAATTAGACGGGGTGGGCCGAGAACGAGGGGTGAGGAGCGTGGGTCATGGCCGAAGGAGCTAAGATGGCGGGAGCATCTCAGGGCACAGCACAACAAAGGGCTTTCACTCAAGAGGGAGTGAAAGGAGGGAGAAAAGGTTACACACATCCTGAAATGGCTGACCTGCCTTTTTTTTTTTTATTCAGACACATGCCTGACTAACACTGGAGCACAGCGTATTTCTAGCATAGAGTGCACATAATTGTTCACACGAGGAATCATCACAATAGCAGATGTGATTAACTGCCTTTCAATCAAACCTAAATAAACCAGGGTCGTGGCCAGAATACGGCCTCAGCTGCAGTGTGGAAACAGAACTGAAGCTGCTCGGAAAAGCCTTTATCTCAACTACCGCAGTATTTAGCATCTACTTGCCTTTTCTGGCAATATCTAAAAAGGTTAATGCTACAGAATGTAAGCAAAGGGAGAAAAGAAAAAATGCTGCTCTGAGCCAGTGGACCTTGACCTTGAAATATACCTCGGCTGAGAAATATTCCATTTTCTTCTTCTCCACAGGACTTCATTCATGATATAGAAAAGGAAAAAAAACGGGGGAAAAAAAAACAGGCGGCAGAGTGTAAGTGCCACACGGACAAAGAAAACTGTCACATTTACCGCCTCCCACTGAGAAGGGCATCTAACCAGTCGTCCACCGTGTACAAAGTCCACGCATCACAGGAGGTCGGCCTAAAATCTTACACCTGCTGAGCTCTAACATTCATATCCACTCACTTTACCAGACAACTACACTCCCACAGTCTGTCAGGGAGTGTTGTAAGTCGTGCCGTATCAAGCTTTAAGTCCAACGTTTGGACATCAGACGAGCAGGGCTGCACCCCGACAGGTAAGATTATGTGTGAGGAGACTGGGCTACTCTGTTGCACATCGGTGTGCTCAGGTTTGCTTGTTCTTCTTGTGTGAAATTGAAATAAATGTCATTCCAGACTGAGGGACTTAAAACGACGGCCACCACGGCATCGTAAACCCAGATTGTCTACAAAGAACCCAAGGCCTATTGATTTTTTTTCCTACCCCCTCAGGCACTATAAGGGCCAACCTGCTCAGACAAACAAGGCCACCGTTGCCCCTGAAGGACCACTCAGCTGTGTGGGCTCAACAGTACCACCCATCCTCCCACACAAGGGGCCAACATACACGTAGAGGGATTGAAAAAGAAAAAAGCAAAAAAAAAAAAAACCAACAACAACAGAAAAAGATGAACCATGGACAATAAACTGGAAAAAAGCATTCAGACAAAAACCCACATCAAGATTCTGAGGTTCTGACCAGTAGTTATACAAACTGTTAAATTACTGACATTTTAACGTTTTATCACAGGCTGCAATCATGATTAATCACAATTAATTTTTATTGTTATTACTCAAAATGAATCACAGTTAATTAAGATTTATTGACATTCCTAATTATATAGGAGTTATATATAATTATATTTTTTTTTTCTGCTGTAACAGAATGAATTATATATTTTTTTTTTCTGCTGTAACAGAAAGCAAGTCTAACAGATGGAATTTCTAACACGGACAAATGTCAAAGAAAAATATGCAAAGGAGGAGACGCAGAAATAGAAAAACAAAAGGTCTTTTTGTTTGTGTTTTTGAGTGTTTGTGACGTGTGATTACAGTTACACTGACAACAATCACAACTACGCACAATCACTGCCGAGTGTCATAAAATAGATTGGGATTTTCCATTATAGTTCAGCTTTATTTCTTTTTGACCTTTGTTCATCAAATTCGTTAGTTTTCTTTCTTTTTTTTCTAAATGCTTATTTCTAGTTTAGTTTTTTATTAGTCTACATTTGTCTATACTTAAGGTCAATTGTTGGGTGTAGGGTCCAAAAAGATCAGAGTTAGTATTGATACCTGGTACTGTTTCATAAAATTAAAAGGACTGTCCACAACAACTACAAGTTTCAAATATAAAATATGAACGACTAAGAAACCTATGTACAGCTACTTATAGGCACTTGACTTTCAGGGCGGTCAGTGCTCGGCATTTGTCAACAATATAGATAGATATACTTTATTGATCAGAAGCTGTTTACTCTATATTAAAGTACAGTATGTAATGAATATAGTAATAAATAGGTGGTAAAATAATCGGAGTCTTCACCGAGTACGAGAATCTGGAACAGGAAAAGTGTTGTTCCAAAGTTGTGCTGAATATGAGGAAAAACTAGTGTGAGGCTTTACAGTCACAGAGCTTAAAGGCAACGAACGGTTTGAGCTCAGAGCTGAGACAATACACTCTGGGAAAAAAAAAAAAAAAGCTTTACTTTTCTATTTCAAGCTGTGAACAAGAACCACAACATGTGAGATACCATCTGCTGTGTCCTGTGAGACATTTTAAAAGGAGCAGAAATATGCAGATCTGTGGGCATTTGTGATTAAACTTGCAGTGGAATTTAATTTTAAAAACTGGATTTTTATTCTCTTAGTCAAGGACAAAAAAAAAATCTCCATTAACTGTGTGACTGTCCATATCCATCACACGGCTGCCGCAACGTCTTTTATGTTTATTAGAAATATCAAAATGATTAATTTACTTGTGTCAGAAATAAGTAAAGATTGAATCAGGGGCGTTGGATTTAATCACCATGAGTTCCATCACCACAGAGACGTGGACAAAGATGCATCGACGGAGGACAACCCACTATCAATACTTGTTTACTTTGTTCTTCAGCTATTAACAATATATTTATTTACATAAGTGTGTACGCACGAGGATTGACCTTTACCTTGAACTAAGGTATGAGATTTAATTTGTTGTGTTGCCGAAGTAAAAAGGTCCTAACATCTCAAGGCGTGTCTCTGGGGTGTCTCCAAAGGCGTCAACAACTTTGATCATTCTGTACATGAAGACGTTTTTACAAAGTTTGTGTTACCTTTGTATTTTGTCACTAAAGGTTTTTAAAGCAGTACAGTACCTAACTGCTACTAGTGTATGCTATTATTCAATGTTTAAATATATGTGTATATATATATATATGTATATAAAAACATATATGTTTAAATATATGTAAATACATATGCATATACATATATATATATAAATTTCTTCTTTTTAAAACATATAAGAGGATTGATTGATATTCAGATATACAGATATTCTCGCGGCATCATCAATCAGCAGTGAAGAAACGGTACCTGCGTGCCCAGAGCTAATGTGGTTCTTCATGTCGTTCTCCTCCATGCAGACGTAGTCACAGACGCTGCAGCAGAGAGAGAACATCCACTGCTCCTTATCCACATGGAGCGACATGTGGCTGACAAACTGAGCATTCAGCTCCGTCTGGAAACCACACACATGGCAGCTGGACAGAAAACAGAGAGAAGAAAGGGGAGGAGGTGGGTGGAGGGTGAGAATGGAAGTCTGCCAATCAGCATCAGATCAGTTAGTCGTCAGTATCAAAGGGCACGGAGGGGAATTCAGTTCTTTTCAACTGATCGAAATTAACGGTATAAAGATGTAAAGAATGACATTTAACTTTTTTAAAGTAAAAAAAAGAAATACTACAATTCCTCCACCGGCTCCACACACAGCTCGGTGCCGTGCATTTGTTGTACCTGTAGTAGTACGGGCAGTTCTTGCACTCGGTGGAGTCGGCTGTGACAGCGCTGACGATCTGCTCAGTGTCGGTGTTGACCAGCTTCACAGAGTGGATGGTCAGGTGCTGATTGAGGTTGGCCTTGCACTTGGCTGCGTAAGGACACAGGTGACACTTGTACTTCCGTTCTTCTGCAACACAACACACACACACACACAGAGTGAGACAAGAACTCTGGGCTACTGTATATGTCCCCTGGTTGATATTTTTGAAGATGCTCTCTGTCTTTAAAACCAGCTTGAACACTTACAAATTCATATTTCCACCTGACTGACCTCTGGCTGCTTTAAACTCTGATGATACTGATACTGGAAGAATGCCTAAAGTATCAGCTGGTCTCCCTGTAAAGCAGTGATCATCAACCGGCAGCCCAGCCAACCATCCAATCTGGAACACCACTGGATTCCAAAATAAACATCAACTAATAATTCATCATGATCAAGCACCCAATCAACAGGTGAGTAAAGATATCGTCTCGGTGCTGCACTATTCTGGACAAACGAGCAACAGAACGATCTCTGGACCAGTTGAAAACTATTGCGGGGTAATCAGACAACAGAGACTGAACACTGAAAGATTTTCCATTTCTCAGTAGCTGCTCAGATCAAAACATTACATTTACCAACACAGAACATAGCTTTGATGTGACAGAGCGACTAACCATGTCACGAAGTAAGTGAAACATTCTTTTTCCTGGTGTTTTAACAGCAGTGGCAGCAGTTTTGCACCACTGCCCTGACACCGTCACACCTCTCCATCATACACTCTACGTTTGGTCATTTAATGGCAGAAAACATCCCACCAAAAGGAAGATGATCAGAACAAATAAACCAACTACTTCCTTCTGTCAACAAACAAATCAAACAACACAACCTCACGCAGACACACACACACACTCACGCTTGTGCCACTTGCCCCGAGGACATGGAGCCAGGAAACCTTTATGTCGTTGGGGGAAACCAAAAAGACCATCACACTGACATATGCCCCTGCTTCTGCTCTCTGTGGTGTGGCCAAGCTGTTCACAGCTAATGCTCTCAGATGGCCAGTGTGTGTATGTGCGGGTCCGTGTGTTTGTGCATGCTCAAGTGTGAGAGCATGTCCAATCGTGTGGGGGCATTTTAGACAACGGACTCCATTTGGCCACTCAGTGATTTGGTCAGCCTACTCAAAGTCAGCTGCATTAATTTCTAATCAAACTTCTTTTTTTTTTTTTGGCAAAATAGAATTCATTAATTTTCCCCAAATGAGGACCAGGAGAGGGATTATGGAAGACAGCGAGGGTTGGAATGGATCAACTGGGAGCAACAGACATGTTTGAAAACACAGTAATCAGGGCTCTGGAGATCACACAGATACATCCACAGGAAGTCCCTCATGTCTGAGCGTGAGATAGCGAAAACAAATGGAGCCGCATCACAGTTATTGGTAGGTGTGTGGTAAGTTAGTGTGTGTGTGTGTGTAGACGCACACTCTCTGAGGCATCCTCAGAGCTGGGTAATTAGATGGGCAGCTTTCCCTGTGAGACTAATAACACTGGTAATCTCTTTAGGGTACGGGTAATCTAGTCTAGTCAACAGTATTTACTTAGTGTGAGCATGAGTTAAACATGTATACGCACACATCAACAATCACTCCCATGAAACCAGCCATGCAAACGCCCTGTGTGTATTTACCTGTGTGTAGAGCCAGATGTCGAGAGAGAGTCTGTTGTCGACCAAACACCTTGCCACAGACTGGACAGGGGAAGAGCTGTTCATTTAGTCTCCACTGGGCAATTCCATTTCCTGGCTCGACATCATCCTTCTCTGAGTCTGCACAAAATGAACACAAAGAGGAAAAAAAAAAAAAACATGCGCCAATTTAACAACTGCTGACACAGCCACCACAGGAGCATCTGCAGGTGGACTGAAAAATATGACATTATATCTACGACTCCTAACATTTGATGAAGTGTCAGGGACCACATGATCTGCTGAGGCTGAAATTACAGTTTTTTTTTAATAAAAAATATATTAAAATATTCTTTTATTTTCATTAGAAGATTTTCTGGGGTTTTTTTTAATATTCTTTTATTTTCATTAGAAGGTTTTTCTTTATTCACCTGTGTCAAAAAACCTTTATTGACCTGTGTCAAAAAAACTGCTGTTACCAAGTGATATTGAAGATGTCGACAAAGGAATAGTTGTATAATTCCTACTTTTATGTCACACATTAACCTAGCATGTTTTAAAACCTTGATGGACATGAGACAAAATGCATGCACTCGTGAATATGCACTAAACCAGGAGAGATCAGGATCTGTCTCTAGCTGGTCACTTCTCTAAAAGCTTTACCTGGAAAAAGTCTATTTGATTCAAACATTAACATTAATCTGTCTCCATTACTGTTACACAGCTATTAATACTTCAGCTACTATAGAAGACATTTCCATGAAACTGTGATCTTGCATGACAAAGAGTCTGAGAAAATTCTTTGAAAGCTTAGTTTGCCACGAATCACATAATACGCGAGACTCGTCAGTGGAAACGCTAGCACTAAATTAAACTCAAAGTGAAATTAAAAGAGACGTGAAGTTTGTTACAAATCCTTTATACTTCCTAATCACTTATAATGGGATTTGTTCTATACAAACCTTGATATTTTGGACATTCCTGTTGTAAAAGAACTGAATCTACTCAACACTGACTGTGGTCACTGGACATTTTCAATACCAGATCTGGACCGCAGGCAGGCCATATACTCTATGTGAATAATGTCTGTAATGAATCTTGGACTGTACTTTGTCTCCGGCTTTTTGCACGTCTTACTTTGTTAAGGTCAGCATAAAGTTAATACCTAATCTTTATCACCCCATCGCCCTGTTGCCCCTTCACCTCACAGTCAGGAAACCTTCCAAAATATTACATGTTGTTTTAAACAAACCACAGAAATAAAAATATCCACCTGAATTTTACACTTCGAACTTCAACAAAAGCAATTTGCTGTGGGCAACGCAGCACGAATCAATGCCACTAAATGCCAGAGATCAAATAATTAAATCAAAGGTGTGCAGCAGATAAAAGGCTGCTAAAAAGATAAAAGTGAAGACAGGGGGGAAGAAGCAGGTGTGGACAAACACATCAGGGGTGGAGTAACAGAAAAAGGCAGCAGAGGTTGGAGGCTGAAGCTTAAACACACCAGGGAGACGAGAGGTGTACCGGGTGAATTAACTTTCAGGACACTCTTGACACCTAGAAGCCAATCACATTTTCATTAACTGGCAGAGGGACAGGCAAGGATGGCACAGCTAATTAACCTCCAGAACTCTCACTGCCAAAGGAACATGGAGGAGAATCTGGAGGGATGGCGAGAAGGAAAGAAGGGGAGACATAGAAGGAGGGGATGCCCTGGGCACAGGCCTGAAGGTGGTGGTGGTGGTGGTGGTGGGGTAATCTTGAGAGGAGAGATTGGCCTGATGAAGCTCTGATGATGAAGTGAGGGGGGAAGTTTGCCAGAGATAGAGATAAGATAATACGAACCAGGAGTCAGTTTTGTTGAGGACACGTAGACTTGGACACAAATGTGCAGACTCCAAACTATAAATCTTCCTCCTGAGCTGGTGGGATCCTGTATGTGCTGAGTGCACAGAGATTATCTGTGACGCTAAGCTAGTGTGTATGAGGTGTCTGTGCAGTTGGTTATTGTTTAAACTACAGTCACTGCTGGCTGTGAGAGGTGACTTCTCTGTCGGGTTTTTTTTTTAACAGCTGACAATACAGTATACCAAGACACTGTAGCACTGCTTCACTGTCTGTCTAGATTCTTTATTAATACGTTTTAAGTCACCTGACTGGATTAAACACATAATTCAAATCAAACATTTTAATGAATTTTAAATCACGGGAAAGGATAACACACACACACAGATTATCCAATAATTCCAGTGTCCACAGACGTATCTTTGCTCTGCAACAGATTCACACATTGTCATATGCAGACACTGCGAGGATAAAGCCTGTTACACTGATGCACCTCAAGCTGAAAATAACATCTCCAGGCCCAGCGTGTGTTTGCCCAGGCTTCAACTTCAGGTCAGACGTCTGGTTTGTGTCAGACCAGCTTTGCTGAGCGCAGGGCGGTGAGTAAGTCTACGACTGACAAACTGACCGACACAACTGTCAAATGGACTGTGGACTGATTAACGTTGTTGAGGACAACGGCTTCACTGAAGTTATGAGGTTTAATTTGGGAGTCATACTTTTGGGTATTTTTCTTGACATATTTCAATACTGGTAATTCCATCATTTGGATTGGCCACAAATGAAAACAGATGTGAAACACACACACACCCACCTGCTGTTCTTTGTCTTTCTATTCCGGTGATATATCTTGATTAATAGTGATTAATCAAGACCAGTAACGGCTCTGTGTTTTAAATGTGTCCTACCGTGAAATGCTGTCCTGGTGGAGGAGGTGGCCTCTGCCGGGGAGGAGCTCTTGGAGCATGAGTTAAAGGGTGATTGTCTGAAGCACTCATCCAGGAATGGACTGTAACACAGATTTAAAAAAAATATTGATGTGACCCAACAAACAACGATAACAATACAAAATTGCAGAATGTTTTGGAAAAATGTTGACAACACACCTGTTAATTCCCACCATATTACTGTCCTTGTGGTTGTGAGATTTGCTGACTTTTTCTGTTGGTGAAAAGAAAAAATATATGATTCTTAAAATATCCTATCGTTGTGTGTTTGATAACCAGTCATAAACAGACGCAACAACAAAACCATCTCCATGACAACCCAGGGACCTCGTCACAACCAGGGGTTTAAAAGAACATGTATTGAATTACAAGGTCAGGTATAAACGTGTGTTCTCAATTTATAACAGTGAGAAATCTAAATGTAAGCGACTGTCACTTCAAACTGATCAGGTCAGTTGCTTGCGCAGTAAAAACTTTCCTCTAACTAGGCCATTGTCAAACAGCACTGCTCGCACACGTGCCAGATTTCTGCAACTCTTTAAGTTGAACTCTGCTACTAAAGCACAGCTTTGTCATGCCAGCAGGGGTGTGCTGGCCATCTGGAGGAGTGGGAGTCTCACCAGTGGGTCTGCGGACCTGTGGGCCAAGAAGTTAGCCCATCAACACATATAAAATATGAATATGAAAAGGTTTTTTTTAGGCTCTGCCTTAGAGTCCCCAGATGGCACATGTGCTGTTGTGTATGATGATCATTTTGTGTGTTAGTGGGGAACTGAATATAAGAAACTGCCTCAGTAGAGCACAGCCACTGGCCAAAGACCAGAGCCCTGGTCTGTTCAGTGCTCAAACCGGATCAATGACGGGTTTTGGACAGGGTGCACATCTGACGTACATGATAATACTAGGGCTGTCCAAATGAATGCTTTCACCGTGAAAAAGTTGGGGTTTTTTTTTCAAAAGTTTAACACAATTAACACATACAGAGAACTTCACCGTCCATCCACTGATCATTGCTCTAACACACGGTCACACATGGTGATTTACATGCAATGTGTGAAAGAGGTTTTGTTTCACCAACGCATCTCCAGCTTAAAATACCATCTCAGCGCTCAGGATGTGTTAGCGGAGGCTTCAACTTCAGACTCAGACTCACTCAGTCAGTGCAGGGCAGTTCAGTAAGTCTAAAGTGGACTTTATACTTTTTGCCTTCTTGTCTTGACATTTTTCAATATTAATTATTCAACACTGTTTTACAACAACAATCTATTTTGTGGTGTTTAAATGCACTGCTAGCTGCTGGCGTGACCTGACACTGGTTGAATGAAATCAGACGGTGAAGCAATTGAAGCATCAACCGATCAGCTATGTGTATGATGATCATTTTGTGTGTTAGTGGGGAACTGAATATAAGAAACTGCCTCAGTAGAGCACAGCCACTGGCCAAAGACCAGAGCCCTGGTCTGTTCAGTGCTCAAACCGGACCAATGACGGGTTTTGGACAGGGTGCACATCTGACGTACATGATAATACTAGGGCTGTCCAAATGAATGCTTTCACCGTGAAAAAGTTTGGTTTTTTTTTTCAAAAGTTTAACACAATTAACACATACAGAGAACTTCACCGTCCATCCACTGATCATTGCTCTAACACACGGTCACACATGGTGATTTACATGCAATGTGTGAAAGAGGTTTTGTTTCACCAACGCATCTCCAGCTTAAAATACCATCTCAGCGCCCAGGATGGGTTAGCGGAGGCTTCAACTTCAGACTCAGACTCACTCAGTCAGTGCAGGGCAGTTCAGTAAGTCTAAAGTGGACTTTATACTTTTTGCCTTCTTGTCTTGACATTTTTCAATATTAATTATTCAACACTGTTTTACAACAACAATCTATTTTGTGGTGTTTAAATGCACTGCTAGCTGCTGGCGTGACCTGACACTGGTTGAATGAAATCAGACGGTGAAGCAATTGAAGCATCAACCGATCAGCTACCAGTGAATATTTATGAGAAAAATAAAAATAATATTCATGTGGGTATTTAAAAAATAAAAATGAATGTCTTCCCGGTGTAAATTATAATTTAGCTGTAGTCTGTTAGCAGCTGAACTTGGTTTCCCACGCTGTAAAATTGAACAGTGATTTGGTTTCCAGACATTGTAATGTGTTGTTCAATTAAAATGAATGAAGAGCAACCAGTCCTTCACCTGCTGGAGCTGAATCACATGACGACCTTTCACAAAATAGAATTGTTCTGGGCAACAATAATACAGACTTTTTTAAAAAAAAATTAATCTCAAAATAATATAACGTCATACAAAGAAAAGCATTTTTGCAAATGTTTCATGATTTCACTAATTTAGGAGTTCACCAGAGCAGGCCTTTAAGCAACACTGCACAAAGCAATGATTCCTAATGTCCTACATTCACATTGATCGTAACACCAATCACATTTAATGTTATTTTGTGTAAATGCGTGTAAAATATCATTACTTTAAATGTTCATATCCATGTAAGAACTCTGTCTGTGTTCCTGGTGGATAAAGATATGAATGTCAGTGACTTGTGTTGTTTTTCAGACAGATGTGTTTCCTCTGAGAATACCACAATTTAATTTATATGGTGTGTGAAAACGTGCACACTTACACCACCATCTGGAAGCTAGGTTTACACCTACTTCAGGGTCAGAGCCACACATCAGGGCAAGGCTGTGCACAAGTAATGTGTGAGGCAAGTGAGAAAAATGGACCTTGTATAATGAAACATTTAGGTCCACTCGTGTCTGCCAGAGATCGCAATGTTAATGAGAAAAAAGTTAGTTGAAGCTACAGCGTATGTGAAGCTCGTCAATTACCGTGTGCCATTACACAGAAGTGTGTTTTGTTTTTTTTCTCTCTTCTCACTTACAAACATAGTGGACTAATGAATATTTTATAGAAATGGTCTTAAAGAGGTTAGTTAATTGAAATCTGTATAAAAGACTAATTGGGCAGGTTAGGTTCATGCAGCCCAATGGACTTCATCATCCAATAGTGAAGAGCAGTAAACAAAAGGCCTGTGAACTGAGTTATATGGGAGTTTGGCGGCGATGTAATGAAGGAATTTTAACTCTGCAACCATCTGAGTGTAGAGAGCGACCTTGCTGCTGCTGATGTGTCTCTGAGGTCCTACTGCTCTAAGTAATTTATATTGATTACTCATTGTGTGACAGTAGCCCTCTCTCCTTCAGTCCCCTCAATATACAAAAACCAGTTCTGGGGGGGGGAGGGTGGCAGATCGTGGCTGTTGCCGGGCTAGAGATGGCCCGGACTGCATGGGTGGGCATCTTGTGCACCCCCAGGTGCCCCCTCTACCCTTCTTATCCACTGCCCCTTGCCGCAGCTCACCAAGCCCCCGACCCCCTCCCCGCCTAAACACCCCACTCCGTTAGACTGCTCGCCAAGGACAGAGGTCTCTTTCCATGTTGCCATGGAGATGCCGCACGGGAGAAATGTAAAAGGATGAAGGAGGGGACGTGCAGGGGGAGAGTGTGCAGCCAAGTGTGCTTGAGCCGACATGTCTGAAAACGAGTCGAGGGAGGGAGAGAGAGAGTAAGAAAGAATGAGAGGAGGAAGAGGAGGAGGAGGAGGAGAAGAGAGGGGGCATTTGTGCAGACACCACTCCTCAAGGGGCCTTATGCGAGTGTGTAAGAGTGTGTGGGAAAGAGAGACTGTCAAAGTGTGAATTTGTGAATATGTGTGAGAGCAGGGAGACAAAAAAGGACGAGATTTTACATGAGCTGATTTCACTACGTTAAATATCAGCGCAGTGCTCTGTGGCCGGACAGAGACAGGGCCATCGCCCGGGACTACATCTCTAACCTCTGTCACTTTTGCACACACATGAACTCAGGGGCATCTGGACACTTTCTCGGGGGACGATGGATGTGCCTCTAAGCTCTGTCTGCTGTCACACAAAACAAATAGCTTTCAGCTGCTTCAATATCTCTTTCATGGCCATATGGGCAAAAAGGTGGACGTCATTACAGGTCACAGATCCTTGGCTTTACTACAGAGTCACAGGAGGACAGAAATGGAAACATGTAGGTTTTATAGTCGAGGATGACACACTGTCCGAGCCTTACACTGCGGTGCTACAGAGGAGAGATGACACAGTACTGAGCACGGGTGTATTTTGTGGATCTCCAGTTGCTGAGACAACAGTGTTTGTCAGACAGTGATACTCTGTTTTTTTAAGAGGAACTTACCTGACAATTTGAACAGGAGTTCAGAGGCCATTTTGACAGATATGTCCTGGGAGAAGAGATCCTTCTGGGGACAGGCCAATGTCTCGGGCAGGCTTCCTTTTGGCTCACTCTTTTCACATGCACCCAAAGTGCTGAAGGCTAGCAGGTGAGGTGCAGGTGGGGTGAGTTCTGCCGGGGGCGGGTCCACCTCCATGGGTTCTGCCTTCACGGTCACCGGCTGGTACTGGGTGTCTTTGTTGTTTTCTGCTGTTCATCAACAAACAGAGAACCGTTGATAGTCAGAGTCTGAGATGTAACAAATTCAAATTGATGAGATTTTCAGGAGAACATACACGAATAAGGCAGGAAATAAATGTATTTACAAGGTTGATTTTACTTTTGTTTGTGTAGACGGATACTATTGAACATAATAATAAGAATAATAATAAACAGCCTTATTTGCATATAATATGACCAACAAAAAACAATATGTATATATTTTTGGGAGAGGATGATACATTTTATTTAGTTACAAAAATCTTATTTTGTAACTTAATAAAAAAAATATATACACATATATAGATATATATACATATATACATACATAAATACTGTATATTCATAAAGCAGCAGCAGGTTGCCAGAATAAAAATAAATATATAACATAATATAATGGAAGGAGGACGAGGACAATATTTAGCCTCAGTGCATCTGATGCAGCTGGTTTCTGGCTGCCTTGACGGCAGGAGGTGGTGTGTCTTTGATGACAAGTATGAACAAGACAAAGCAGCACAGTTGATACAGCGCTGCTGACACAGCGACTCGGCATGATTATGGGATGTATGAATTTAGCAGGGCATTGGGAGACAAAGGAGGGGGGGATGTGAGACAGAAGCTGTGCCACTCCTCCCTCACATTCTTCACTTCACTGCTGAAGAAGAGCTATGTTCACCAGGAACACTGACTTACAGTACAACAAGTCAACACGACGACTTTATTACAAGAGTCTTTTTTCCATTTAAAACTCAGACGGGTAACAGGGCAGCTTAAAGGCAGCTGAAGTTCAGACACCTGGTTTGTGTGTTGGTAGTAGTCAGCATGTGAGGACACTGATAATAACCACTTCCAATAATCCGTTAATCATGTGCCCAGAGCTGACCAGGAGTAACCTAGGGCTGATAAAGGTGCAGGGGAGAGGAGAGAGAGACGAGAGGGGTGGAGAGGTAAATAGAGGAGAGGCGGGGAGAGGGTCGGGGGCACTGCGCACTAAGGGTCAACCAGGGGACACATGAGCATCGATCACTGCATCACCACAGGAACAACAGACAGCATCCTGCCTGCTGAGCTGTGTAACACACCCTGACAAAGAAAACTTTCACATGAAGAATGAAACAGACAGGCACAGGTCACAGCCAGTCTGTATGAGATGCCTCTCACACTGAGGTCATGACCTTTAACCTTCTGTTACATTAGGAACTGTTTCAACAATCAAACAGACACATCATAAATCTGTTCTATATGTTAGCTCCCTGGTAAGCAGTTCCCTTTTCAGATCTCTTTATATAACAGAAACGGTTTAATCCTAATGTCCTAGTGAATGTGCATGGATTCTGACAGACAGAAGCTGTGGCCAACTGCTAGATCTGACTGAACACCATGCTTTTACCTCTACACCAAAAACTGGCTTAACGATAAACATAGTAAATACACAAGAACGAAAGCTTTCGGTGAAGCAATATTTCACACTACACTAATATCTGTGCCTACAGGAGCAGCATGCGGAGTTGAATTGAAATTCTAATTTTAGAAATCAACTTTGACCTTCGTGGCTGTGACGGTCAAACTAACAAACAGACGGAAGGCACGGATCCAAGACTGATTTGTGAGTGCAACCGCACAAAAATATCTATATTACTGTTATTGATTAAATTCATGTGAGGCCAATTGCACTGCAAAACAGTTAAAGGTAGTGGGAGAGACAAGTTGAAGGGCACAGAGAGAAATCAACTGTCAATCGGTGCCAGAAAAAGAACACTCAAGGGTAAGACAGAAAAGATGGAAGCTGGATGAGAGGCAGAGGGGAGGAAGCAAGTGATGGGTTAGGGGAGGACAGCAGGATGAGGAATGGCTATAGCGTAAATGACAACCTCTCCACCTCTCCCTTTCCTGTTATCCTAGTCTCCTCTTCTCCCTACTATGTTATTCCACATCTTTCTATCCCTGGCCCCCTCACCCTTCTCTCTCCCTCTCCCTCAATCTCTCTATTCTCCTGCTCTCTGGTCGACCTGCTCAGACAGGGGTGAATAGTTCAGGCGCTTCAAAGGCTGCAGTGTGGAGACTGTGTGTCATGTGGGAGCCACAGCAGCCTTGCCTGCAGACTTCACAGACAGCTGTTGCTACCATTGATCCTCCACCAGCCAGCTCTCAGTAGTTGAGCCTCCGAAGGTTGCAAACTGCGGCTACATCTGACTTCGGAGCAGCGCGCTTGATAAACAGCCCATGAGGAGCCAGCTATGGCCCTTATAAAGCAGTTCTAAATAAAAACATTTGGCACAAGCCAGAGAAGATTCAAGGCTACGAAAACTTTATCATATAAGGTCAGGACAAAAGACGGCAAGCGATTGCCTCGGCAATTCTGCCGACAATCTCTCATATATAACAAGACACTTACTGGACAAACGTTCGCGGTAAAGTAGCAAGACAAAGAGGAATCAGTGCCGTGTTTCTACGACAACTGGTGCTGTGTAATGAGGAGTCAGTGTTACAGAGTATACAGTAGAGGTAGGAAGGATGGGATTAAGAGAGGTCACCCAGGGGCCACTGCAAGGGGGCAAACTGAGGACACTGTCAGCGCAGTGTGGAGCTTAACATAAAGTGTGACTGTACTGAGACGGCAGTGTTGTGAATTAGAATGATGAGTGGCACGGACAGAAACTGTGATAAGCCATACTCGGTAAAAAGTGAGTGCTTTTATGTGACAGTAAGGCTATTTAACGGATGTTAGAGACCTAAGGAAGAGGAGCTTTACATATATATTACTGTCAGAAAACCCAGACTGTACGCCTGGATGTTTTTTTTTCTGCAATAAACAGTTTTTTTATTAAGATGAAATCGTGGTACCCAAGTACTAACACCAAAAACATCAGGAAAAATATGCAGCAGATGCTGTGGGGGGTTTAGTCTCGGAGTCAGGAAATGGCCAGTCCATGAATCAATGAGACCAAATAAAGATTACAAACATACAACCACCACACACTATGATGAAACATTATATAATTTAAGGCAGAAATCCACAGTCACTTGTTTCTTTCATCATTAAAAAGAAAAATGTATTTGAGTGATAATGAAATACAGTTCTTTTTATCCGTACAATCCAGCTGTTTCTGCTTCGATGTAGAAAATGTTCTTAAAAACCAAATGCCAGAATAAATTCACTTTTTTTTAATTGTGTCACAGGAAATGTAAGATGCTATATTTATTCTTTTGGATGCCAGACTGTGTCTGCTTTCTCAATGCAAGTTATCAGGTTCTGAAAGGGTAAGCTATTTTAGAAAATAGAGCCAGTAGGTGGCAGTTATCTGCTGTTGTTAGCACCCAAAAAAGCAGCAATGTGGTTGGTGTGTGGGTCTAGACTGGGGGTCTGGAACCCTCAACACCAACAGCCATTTTTATCATCTTAAAACTAAATACAATTCATCAAGAGCCACACAAGTATTTTCACATTTTAAATGAAGTCAATAGTGAAGTGATTAATGATTGAAATACTTAAATTATTTCACAGAATCTATAAGTATGGGGATCAGCACCTGTGGACTAATAACTTCTTTTGTCAAATCCTTCTCTATGAGAGAAGAGAAATTCCCTTAAATACCATGAAGCAACAATGTTGTACCATTGCAGTCCTAGCTGCATTTATAGCACCACCTGCAGGGGATGTTGGGATCTGCATGGTCAACAGATCATCAATATCAATAACTAAATAATGCTGATACATCTTTAACATCAGCAAAAAAAGAGAAACAACCATAAAAGCTCATTTTTGCTACTATTCTGGTTTGAGGTCATTTTGCTTCTAAGTGGTCAAAAGTGTTAAATGCAACTTTTATTGGCTGGGTTAAAAGCAGTGTAGTGGAGAGCGGCCTGTGAAATGCCCACAGAGATACAAGGCTCGTTTCCAAGGAATGAGGAATGATTAAAGCCAGCACGGAGTGTGATTTCACACCTATAGTGCTGGTGGTTGGATGGTGAGTGGGTGGCACGGCTGTTACCCACATGATGCCAGTCTGCCAGGGCAGCACCTAGGGCCCCTCACCTCTCCTTCTCCCTCTCTTCCCATGATGCCATGTTCCCCTTGCCCTGCAACAGCAGTGCCCATCTGCTCGGACACGTTAGCCACTGGCGCCAGGGACTATTTAGCCTGGCGTAATTAGCCCCCAGACAGCAGCAGCCTGGTTTAAAACAGATGTGGGGGAGGCACTGTAAGCAAGGCGACTCAATAAGACCTACCAATGTTTGATAAGA